TCCTTAGCAGCAACCCAGTAGAGTCAGCTCAGTGAGGTGGCAATGATCTTCTACTTGATCGGTTTCGTCGGATTTCTTTCCTCGACAATAACGACGGTCATCATGCTGCTATGTGCTGGGGAGGTGCAGACCGAACTGGGCTGCCAGGAATTTATGCGGAGAATTGGTAATTATTCTCGGGCTCCATACCTCTTTTTCATGGTGGGCTTCCTCTACGCATTCGCTTCTGTCATACGCTATTTCGTAACCATGAAGACCCTCGGTGGCCTGATAATACTTGGCCTTGTCATGCTCATTGCCGCTGCGCTGATTTCCAGCACCTGCGACTTCTTCGTACGTTGCTGCATTCAAACACACAATGGCATCAATGAGTCCCTTAGCCGCCAGATTAATATGAGCTGGAGTCCATATTAGGGGTTACTAAGTGACCATTCAGAGTGGACATGGTGGTGTTTCTTGGTAGTTTTGTGTAGCCCTTAAACTATTCCAAACATGTCCGTTAGTTATCTGGAATATTCATTGCATCAGATATCCTGTCATTGGGGGGTGTGGAGGAACCACTTCTTGACTAAACCCCAAATCCTAAACTGAAACCCTAAACTCGAAATTCTCAACCTGCTTGTGATCGTATGCCCATCGTGGCCCATCCGTGAACTCACCCTTGAAAGTCGAAAAAAATAAAAACAACACACACGCACACGCACACGCACACACACACGCACACACACACACACACACACTCTCTGGAATACAAGGGCTTGAACAAGTATCAACCAGGACCCTCCTTGTACCCTTAATTGGGGATATATGGTCCCCAATAGTGGGTACTTAGGCCCTAATAGAGGGTAGGAGGACGGTCTAGGAATACAATCGAGAATTTGGTTGAGGAAGAGAGGAAAATGCCCTGCTTGTATAGCGGGCATCTCACAGAATAGTCTAGGAGGGCCCCCTACACTGTAATAGTGGTATACTGGGAATATAGTAGGACCCTAGTATGATCCTTAGTATCCCTTATAGTCACCATTACTGGGTGGGGGGTCCACCTAAGGGATAGTATTGGATGTAGGGGCCTAATCCCCTACCATCATCACGTTGACGTCGATTTCAGGCACCCCAATATTACACAAGGAACCTTGGACCGCAACACTTGTAAATAGCTTAGTAAGACATGCCCGAAATCCTCATCCCTATACACCCGCATATGGTATGAACCCAGTGTCCATTTCATGTTCCATGTTCTTTTCCATGTGACTCTCAATGATGACGTAAAATATCCCTACATCCTGATCAGCTCTTGGGACAAGCCTGAGTTGTGCACAATTTCCTTCCTAGAAGTTCCTCGACAATTGCTCTGGACTGTCGCCAACCTTGCTCTTTTACCAGCTATGAGCTCCCAAAAAATAAAGCTACATTCGGGCATCTAGTCCAAGCTGTGAGACGCATGGCCTTGATTTTGGCGCCCAAATCCTGGTCCTTGCGAGCAGGTCTTACTGGACTTCTAGGCTTCTGCGGCCCTAGGGGGTGGGTTTAGGGTTCAAGGTTTTTCCAGGCATAGCGAAACCCTCCACTTGGGGTCTTCAGGGTCAACCGGCTTCCCAAAAGCCGGGCCAGGGCCCGGAGGCCTTTTAGGTGGTAACTCAGGCTTTAAGGAGGGGCCTCAGCCAGGCTTCCGGCCTCAAGAAGGTATGAAATTGGAAGCTCTTGCTTTTGAGTAGATGTAGTGTGCTTGGCCAAGATGGACCTAACTGAGTTTGGAAAGGCCCCACATCCCGAAGGGAAGAGGTTTGGGTGGTTTGGCCGCGGCACGGGGTGGGTGAATGTGGCAGATGGTCACAACCGGGCCATCGCAGCGTGTCTCATAGCATGACGCACTTGAAGCAAGGTTGTGGCAGCACCATCTCTGCTTCAGCGGCCACATCACAGCAAAGCATAAACTCTACACCCTTAACCCTAAACCCTCAAACCGACCCTATACTCTTCAACCCTTAAACCCCTAACCCTAAAACTTTAACCCCTCAACCCTATATGGTAGCTTCCCCAAACAGGGGGACCCCAATATAGACCCTTAAATACTTCAAGTCCTTTTTATCGTGACCCCCAAAATGGTATCCCTAATCTTGGGAAGCCCTCATATACCCGTAGACAACACCCTAGAAGCGCAGTTACCTATATATTGGGTTCCTGTCCTTGGGTCCCTATATAAACTTGAAATATTTATAACCCAAGAACCTACTATATGGGTACCTGGGCTTCTAGGGACAGCTCAGGTTCGAGGAGCTTAACCTCACGGATGCTCAGGTGGAGGAGGATGCCGCAAGGCTGCAGTTCTACGGTTTTAGGGTTTTAGGGTTTGGGTTTGAAGGTTTAGGGTTTTAAGGTCTAGGCTTTAGGGCTCTAGGGTTTAGGGTTTTTAGGGTTTGGGGTTTTAAGGTCTAGGCTTTAGGGCTTGGGGGTTTTAAGGTTTAGGCTCTAGGGTTTGGGGTTTTTAAGTTTAGGCTTTGGGGTTTGAATTTTGGGTTTTCGGGTTTTAAGGTCTAGGCTTCGGGATTAGACTTTTAGGCTTTTAGGGTTTTTGGAGTTCTTGTTTTTTTGGTGACTTTCGTCAGGAACCAAGTCGGCCAGGGCCCGATGATTAGGGCTTAGGGCTTTGGTACTTAGGGAAGGTGTCGTACACGATACGGGGCTCTTATTTATGACTCCGGAAATATGAGGGTGTTTTCCAAAATTAGAGGTGCCTTTCTAGGGCAAGGATTATAATATTTTCAGGGCTGTATGGGGGTCCTCCTATTTCGGGGAACTGCCATAGTCCGTAGTCAAGGAGTCCTTGTTTCCTAAACGCTAGCCCCTGAAGCCTGTGGGCTGAGCTTCTTATCCTTAGGGCTCCGGGTTACCCCATGTCTGCTGTTCTAATACTTGAACTCCTCAATATACACTAATTCCCCAAGACCTGCCCTTATTCCCGAAATGCCAAGCATCCAGCTTTGGAATGCTTGGAACTTGGGGCGCTCTCAATTGCTGTTGGAGATTCATGGGACTAAGTAGGCATTTAATTGGGGTTGCCCCAAGTAGAAATGCAGGTATAGCCCCAGGTCTCGCTAGTTACTAGTTCCCATGAACCCACACGTAGAGTAAAAAGCAGGTAGCTCCACCCCAAACTAACATGGAATGCCATACAGGCTCTTCCAAAGAGGATAGCAGTCTGTACAGTGTCTGGTGTTTGAGCATTCCAGCTTTGTCTGGGGGAAGGTGCAAGCATAGACCCAGCCATCCGCAAACCCTAGACCCAAAGTCCTAAGCGAGCCCCTTTTTCAACCCTCCGGGAACGGAATCTTGGGTGAGCACAGAGGAATATGCTCTCTGGGAATCCTACACGACTGTCTGTTTTCTGGGTCAACACCCAAAACCTTAACCCTTGAACAAACCCTATATAACCCCATTATAGTAGTTGCCAATTTCTTTTCCATTATCCTTATTTAACCCCAATATAAATATAACCCCAATATAACCTAAATATAACCCCAATATAACCCCAATATAAATATAACCCCAATATAAATATAACCCCAATATAAATATAACCCTAAACCCAGAAAATGCTGCTCAGGTCTTGTCTTGGTTCGCAAAGAACCACAAAGTCCGTGCCCTTGATGACTGTTTCACTGACCTTTCAGGACGGTGCTACATGTGGACACCGGCTGGGTAGTATCTTACAGTGGGGCAGCGTGAGTTCAAGATGGAGTAAGACATTTGTTGACATAGTTTTTTTCAGTTTCTACTCCCTCGAGTATAAAACGTATAAAGTCAAACTGCTAAGCCGTAGCCCGATCCACCAGCATTAGGGTCAAACCGCCTGCTAGCACCCTAGGCACTCGGAATGGGACCATGCTAGCCCAAACCCCTAAACACTAAACCCTCAATGATAGCTGCAACGGGTTCGTGGGAGGGTGGGAGGGTGGGAGGGTGGTAGGTGAGGTGGGTGGGGGTTCGCCTCTGCAAGTTCGATTCGATCGTCAACCCGATTCAATGCTGGTGTTTGTGGTTGGCTGGGCATGCTTTAGTCTCCTAGATCCTGGCCTCTTCTTATATGTACCGGACATGTCCCAGAGATTGGGGTGCGAAGCCAAAGTCTCATGCCGGGTGTATGCGGCCAGAATCAGGCTGCTGGTTTGAGGTGGTCCGGGGGCGCAGAGTTTAAGAATATACTTTGATTTCCGCTGTGGATCAATTTTAAGTTTGGGGTTAGTTTTCGCTAATTGAACGCTTGCAGCTGCCATTCTTGATCAAGCAGGGTTTCTGTCAGCCAGGTAGATCCCTAAGCTTAGGATTCACTTCTCAAGGTCGTTCTAGGAGGTGTGTCCTGCTTGGGGTCCCAAGGAATCTAGTTATCCTGGTGAGGATTGGCTCCGGAAAGCAACCTGCTGATCAAGCTGGATGGTATTACGAAGCAGCGTGTGGCGATCATGTTCCACAGGCCACGTAGATTCAAGTTGGAGGTTTTAGGTTGAGCCCTGCCCCACCCACATTATTGTTACATGTACATATGTGTTCTCAATGTATCCCCTATCCACGAACAACATTGAGTGGGGTGAGAGCCTCAGATTCTAGGGCGTCAGAATCCAGTGTTATAATAAGGCTTTAAGGGTTAAAGGCTTCGGGTTTTGGGCGCTAGGGTTTAGGGGGGTTTAGGGCTACTTTCTTATTGGGTGTATTGGTCTCTTGGTAGGGCTACGAAGATCCCTTTTACGGCGGAGGAGACAAGATTCAGTCTGCGCACTTACAAAGAAAGTTTCCTGGCATATGGTTGGCATCACAAAAAAAACTGCCTCGCCCGAAGTAAGGGGCACCAATACCCCATAATGCTTTTGGTAGCCGTGGTCTTCTGGTATATGGCTGCGTGGCATAACCTGTAATTTCCGAATCGCCTTTGCGAGGAATTATTTAGACATCATTTGCCGTTTTTCAGGACCTGGCGGAGAGGCTTGAAGTTTTGAAATTACAGGACACATACTACTCCACCCAGGTTGAATCCTAAGCCCTTCAAGAACCAAGAATCACGTTGAAGTTTGAAGTATATGCAAATCACGAGACAATCTACTAACACCGTGACCCGAGAAGAGACACCCCAATCCTGAAGCCCCAACATAGAACATGAGAGATTATTAGTCTGATTTGTAATTACATCCTAGCGGATCTGCCTCAAGAACCACCGTTTCGGGTTTAGAGCAGAGGTCCACGTATGAACGTGAGAACAGAACTTGTTAGCCTGAAGCCCTGCCCTAAGGGTCCAAGGACCCAAATCATAGGGCTTCAGTGCCCAAATATCATTGCTAGTATAGTAGTTGGGCCCTAAAACCCTACTATTTGGGTCCTT